ATAATTTATCTGAATCAACATGAAAATATACCTAATAAATAATGCTATTCATCTGGCTCTTTTAGTTCTCCCTTAATATAATAATTTCTTTTCTCCAAAATACAGCAGCTGGGAATGAAAGAACGATTTCAAGTGATCATTTTTACATCATATTCTATCATCTTTTCATTACTTTCTCTGAGCTTTTCTTTGACTGAGCCCCTTTTCTTTAAAAAGAGGTTTCTTTGGAGATCAATCCATATTTCCATAATCCACACTGCAGTTCCTCCTCTTCTCCCCAGGGTGGACTAACTCCCACGTCCCCACCATGGCTTACAACTGTCATTAAGCCCTGTAACAATAACAAGATAACAAAAGAGCGGGGGGACATGAGGCTAGCTAGTACCATATGTTGACCAAGTTCAGTATTTCAGCTGATACCCAATATTTTTAAACCTATTTTTTTTTATAGTGAAATGTCCTCACAGCACTTGTTCTCTCAAACTGCATTTAGGCAGAAACTCTGAACACCAATGAGCAACCTTTCTTCTTTTAAAAAGCCTATCTACTAAGGATGTGCTGAGAAAGGAGTGAACAATCACCAGACACAGAATGGTAAAATCAGGGAATACTGACTCTTCTCATCCCAAGCCCCATTCAACTTAAACCTAAGAGTTTTTTAAGACTCATGTATAAAGCAGCATGCAAATGTAAGCAAGCCTTATTCAAAGTAATACAGTCCATGAGAACCAAGGACTTAGGGCAACTTTCAGAGGCTTTATTTCCATCAAGTAACATCCAGGCATCTTACTGTGTTTCCACCTGTTGTTTCACAGTTCACCAACTTCCACTTCTTTTTTTCAAAGTGAAAACAAATTTAGACGTAGAGTTCCGAACAACAACTCCACTTAGAACCACGCGCTGCTCATTCTGTGTGGAGACTGTTGTGATGCACCAGCCTAGAAGATGTCACTGTGGAAAAGCAACTGTCCACTCTGCTCCTCTCAAACACTGCAGAACTAAAACCCAACTTTGCTACTGCTGATACAATGTTTCCATTGGCATCACATACGACTTGACTTCTATAGGCTGCACAGCATGGACAGGCCTTCCTATGTGGACTAAATCATTTGTAGAGTTTGAATACAGTGATCTCACTAATATAAAAACAAATACTAGCATCCTACCTCTAGAAGCTCACTAAAATAAAACTTCTCACCTGTCAGCAGAGCAGTTTTACAGGGCTCCAAATACAATGTTAGCTCAAATGTTTCTTAAATACTTCTTCAGTGTAAATTTGTGAAAGTGCATTAGTCCACTGTTAATCCATAAAACAAAATTTAGAAAATAGCATTGTTTTTCCAAATTACTTTCCTATGGTTGGCAATGAAAATTTTAACTTCTACAGTTCAAAAAATAAAACATGTATACAGTAAAAGAGAGTGTGGGCATGGTTTATATTAAATTTTCTAACATTGTACCTTCAAAGAAAATAAATTTCATTCTTATAATAGTTGCAGTCTGGTGCTCTTCTTGATGCACAGCAACATATCAAGGACTTAGCACTGACTATTCCTGCCAAAAGCATACTGATAAGACAGAACTGATATTTCAAGGTTGCTAAAATAGTTCCAAATTGTTGGGAATATGAAACAAAGGAAGCATCTAAATATAAATAAATTTTTTATATTCACCTACTCTCTTTACAAAACCTAACATTCTTAAAAACTAATCAATTTGTCATAGAAATAGGTTTGTATATGTACACACAGAAACATATGCATGTGTGTATACGCACTCTCATAAGAGTAGTAAATAAAATTTCCTTTCACATGACATCTTTATGACAGCACTACACCCAAACAAGTTTTCAAATTTTATTTCTGAATAGTCCATAACTCTTTATAATTATTTTTCTAACACTAGAGTCAATAAATTATTTCTGAATAATTTATATCTTCATAAATAAAGATCTTCACAGTAAATAAAATTACAAAATACCCAGATATTAATGCTGCTCAGTTTTAAATGATGAAAATCTTTGTATTATTCAAATCCCATTTAATTCAAACAGGGAAAGAAGACTGAATGAATATATACAACTATAAATGGTCACATGTTTAAGAAGCATTCCTTCTAAATAGCACAGTACGACAGCTACACTTGGTTGAACATAAGACTGTGTGAAGTGGCAGTGTTTTTGACTGTCAGGCAGCTTGCTGGCAATCTACACATAAGAAACCCCCCAAAAACACAGCTGAAATTCACACATAAAAATATTTATTTTACTATGACACACTTAAAAGTATAATTTAAACTTTCGAGATACTTCCTACAGGATTAGCTAATGAACGGAATGTCATAACATGATTGTGGCATGTGCCCTTTTCCAACATCTACGGAAATGAAAGACAGGAGGAGGCACTCATCATGAGTCAGTGATGAAGCACTCTGAACTTCAAGCTGCAAACTCCTTACCAACCCACATCTTTCATTTGTACTTAATTGAAACTCCACTATTTTTGTCCTAGCCCTTGAAATCTTTCTAAACTTAAGCTCACACAGAGCTCTTGCATTATCCCTTCCCAAAACATTAGTTACCTGTTTTTCCCACTGTGGTCAACATAACTTATCATGAGTTAATTCAACTTTCTTTAATCTGTCACTCAGTCAATTAAATAAACATTTATTTACACGTTATTATGTGCCAGCCACTATGGCATGTGGAAACTAAAAAAAAAAAAAAAAAAAAAAAAAAAAAAAACAATGAGAGAGGGGGAGATGGGAAAGAGGAAGGACTCTGACGTATATAACAGAGGTTATGAAATCATACACAGGATTCTGTAGAAGCTCAAGAAAGCTTTAGAAGAATAACATTCAAGCTGGGGTTTAAGATTAAGGAGAAATTTCAGCAATATGGTAGACTTAACAAGACCTGGTCCATGACAATAAAGTCAACATGCCAATGTGGATGAGTGAATTCTTATAAAGCTCACAAATAGATTAAAAGCTACAGGCAATTAATGACTGCCAAGACAGAGAATCAATGGTCCCGAGGGATGAACCCCCTGATCTGCTATCCAATTCCAAGCGGTCAGCCCAAAAACATACATATGAGCAGCACTAACTTGACTCAGCAGCCATATTTACAAGTATGTATATATTGACAATAGAAAATAGAAATAGCATGTGAAAGTACAAAAAGGGTTTAGTGTTATAGCCAGGGAACCGTGAGCAGGATAGGGGACTGAAGATGATCATTTTCATACATACGTATCACAATGAAGCCTCATATTTTGTACAAATAATATATGCTACTAAAAATGTTTAAAAGACTGTGAGGATGCTCTGTGTGGTGGTGCCCACCTTTATTCCCACACTCTGTGGAGATAGAGAAGGGGGGAATCTGTGTGAATTCAAGGCCAGCCTGGTCCACACAGCAAGTTCCAGGCCAGGCAGAGGCACACAGTGAAACCTTGTACTCAGAAAGACAAGACAAAGAAGACTGTGAGGACTGGTAAGTGCTGGATTCCTGGGTACATCAGTGTTCACCCATTTACACAGTGAACTGCTTCTAGTTTAGACCTGGTACAGGAGGACTGCCTGATGTATTATATCAAACTCACAAAGAGCATTTTATCAGCCAAGAGGACTGGCGACAAGTGATCACACTACAATCTGCTCAGGTGGACTGAAAAGAATGTTTCCTCATATGTGATCCCATAGTTAGGCCTCCCCAGGACCCTAGGAATCTTAAGGAGCAGTTTTAAAGGGAGAAATAAAAATAATTAGACGAAAAGGGACAAGAGGTTGCTTGTAGATCAGTGGACAAGAGACAACTAAGAAGATGAAGAAACAAGCACTTCAGACTGGTAAAATGAGTCCAAAATCATTGCAGGATTAGAACACACTCAGCTTAGCTTCCTATTTCAAAGTCACCTCTTCACTGTGGGGCCTTACTTAAAAATATTTATGATATTTATAAATCCACTGTTCACTAAAAGTTAAAAGCAACTTAAGAAGACATACCCTCATGGTCAAGGGCAATAGGCACAATCAGTATATAACACGCCTCTATAATTGGCTCATTCACATCAACTCCAAATTTCCCATCTATCAGATTGACATTCTCATCTAGAAAATTATCCTTTCAAAACATTCAAAATCATGCATACTATTTTTGAATGAATGTCTTTAAAGATATCTTTTATGAGATTTACTTTTTGGGAATCATACCTGAGAACTTAAGTATGAGCTGGTGAAATTATCATCTTACCAATGATAAGACTATATTAATCTCACTTCTTTTTAGGCAAATGAATAGGTATCCAGGGAATACCTATCTGATTTATTTTTATCAAAAAAAAAAATAGTGTAAACTATAATTCAGCCCTAAAATGATATTCCCATAATATAAAATTTTAAAATCTTTTTCTATACACATATATTTAAGTAGTTCATCATTTTGATCATTGTAAATATTTAAAGAACTAGAGAAACTGTAAAATGCCAACCAAAAAAAAAATCATCCTGCAGTTTCCTTCTGATGTTTTAGCTATCTAAGAAAATTAAGTGATAAAAATTATTTAGAAATAAGGAAATATTCCCAATTCAACTCCTAAATGTGATTGGGGAATTACTGTGACAAAAAAAATATATTTATTCACAGTACTTACACTTATTTCTAAGTAGATAGAAATAATGAACATATTTAATGAAGAATGAATAATATCAAGTTTTTTTGACTGAGGGTTATTTATTGTCCCCAAATATATATCCCATAGGTGAATGTGTAAAACTATACAGAGACCATAAACATGCAGCTGCTATGATTTTTCAATACAAGTGCTTCTTAACTCACCCACTTGGTCACTTCTAAAAATCCTTCCATATATTCTCCATACTTTTTCCTTTTCAACGTTGATCAAGAAAAAATAATTGCAGCTACATATACAGTATCAGCAGTTCATAGTAATAATGGAACGTTTCAACTTAAAATGTTTTTAAGTTATGTTCCCAACCTGGTCTCCAAAGTCCTCTGGGAATTTCCACAATACCACAGGATCTGTAAACAATTGACATACATTGTTAAAAAACAACTTAGGAAGATGTTTAAGGCAACAATTTTGTTAATATTCTTATAATGATCAATTCTGATTTTTTAACACAATTTTAAGTTCATTTCTCTATTTTTATCAAATTAAATGTTTGACATTTGGGGTTAAATAATCTTAGAAATAGAGTATAATAAAATTCCTAACTTAATCAAGTTACTAAAACTCATTCCTTTTAGTAATCTGTTTATTTGCATACCTCAGATTCCAAGGTTCTGAACAATATAGTCTCAATTTAACTACTTTTAAAAATGCTAGTTTTGGATTGAAAATAAAAATATATAAATAGTAGTTAATAATAATCAAACACAGCCTTAGAGACTAAACCAAAGAATATTACTTTAAAATTCCACTTTAAATTTCAGTTAAGAATGTATGATGTTAATAATCATGTTTGCTTTATATCACTTTTAAACGCTCATATTTAAAATGCAAAGTAATATTTAAGTAATAGACAAACTGCTAGGTAGGTTAAAGACAGCTTATTTAAAGTAAATTTGATTTTGTAATACACTTCAAGAAATAAAATGTGATTTGTATGTGTATGAATATCTAGATACAGTACAATAAATCAACAACTTTATAAATATTAGTACAGGTTGTTTATTTTCACATGTCTAAACCCCCCTTTTTAAAGGGGGTAAAGGATAGCATTGTTGGCTTTAAATTAGTACTAACAAATATTTTGACCATATACTTAATTCTGCCAAAAAACAAAGCTGAATATTTCAAATGAGTTTTAAAGGGTAACTAACAATGGATTAGGCTGCTGAAACCCCATGATAAAACTAACATACGGTGCCAGTCTGACAAAGTCTAAACTCCATCACAAGTAAAAAGAATCGGTAGCCCAGAGACTCTCTCTCCTCTGTGTATACAATCAGGGAACAACTCCATTTCATAACTACCACCATTTTAGAGTGTGTTTTTTTTTTAAAATAAAACCAGGTTGTGACATATCTTAAGCGTTAATTCCCCAATCAATAGACAGCCAGCACCAGCTCCTCTAGTTTTTCCTCCTGTATGTTTAATAGAGTGCTTTTTTTTAAGATCTTAACTTTCAAACAAAGCATGCTTCCACAAGAATTTTAACTTAATAATTAAGTAATGAAAATCTTCCACATAAGTCACTATAAATAAGCCACAAAAACATCTTGCATAAAACCATACAGTAGAAATTTATGAAGGCAACATCAGATGGTTTGTCCTCATCCACGTAAAACAAATGTCTACATTTCTGTAGTTAAGGAGAAAAACACCCCCAAGATCGAGTGAAAATCCTCAGGCAGAATTATCTTGTAGATCCTGTAGATAATTACATTCCCAAATTGTGTAGATTTATATGGTGCTTTTACCAAAACTGAGGCTGTTATGATTTGAATCTCATAAAGCAAAAGTATACAGGAGAATCTTTGTAAATAAAGTATGACAGTAAATCAATGGCAATAAAAACAAATCATCACACAAAAGTAGGCCAGTCACAGGCATAGAAAGGGCTTCAATGCTTAACAGCCGATCCCTCTTCATGAACCACAACTTCACAGTAGTTGCCATTTCAAAGCATAAGCAGGCTTCCTAGGCCTGAGTGTGAGCTGGGACATTTACCTGTTGCACAGCCCTTGCAGCTGGTTTGCCAGTTGGCCGCACTTAGCTAAGCATGCCTTCGCTGCCTCACTTATTCACACACCTTTGTTCGTTCATCTTTTTCTACATACTATGCTTTCATAGACGTGAAACAAATGACAGTATGGAAAGGTCTGTTGGATTAAACATCTAGTGGAAGATATCCTATTTACTTTCATTAAATAAATCTCATCTTTAGCAGCATGCAAAACTGTATTAGAATCATGTGCAACCACATTTGAAGGGGATTAATTTAGTTACTGCTTATGTGGTTACAGTCCAGCTACATATTTGTAGCAACCTTTTAGAGTACTGCAAAGGAACAAAAGACCTGAGAAAAATAATCCGATTTTGCCACTTCAAACAAAGGTTGCATTTTCTCTTCCCTGAGGATTACTCCAGACCCTCAACCTAATTTTATGCCGATCTTCCGGGTGAAGGGCTGAGAACTGCTGGCCGGGCTGTGCAACAGTGTTGGGGACACTGTTCCCTGCAGCCACTGCGCCCAGGGAGAGTCCATCCTACCTAGAAACATGGCTGCTGACAGGAAAATTACGGAAATTCATTCTCACATAATTACAACATAAGTACACAAATTTTGTTTAAGTCAGTAACCTTGTAGATAACAATAAACTACTATTTGTATATGAGCACAAGTGTTTTAAACTTACAATTTTTTAAATATAAAAATAAGACAAATCCCATGATTTGACATTTCATATTTTCTAGACCGTAATAAAAAACAAAAATATCTGAAGATACTTGTGTGGATTATACTAAACTACAGGATAAATAACTTTTTAATTGCCATAAATGAATACAATCTCTTTGATTCTGGGGAATTCAAATTAAATATATAGTTTCTTTATGCATTTAGAAAACCAGAGTTCAGACAATATATACTTCTAGAAAAATAGAATGTAAAATATTTGTACTTTGCTTGAGTACTAATTTGTTTTTTAATTACTTATTTTACTTTATGTGTATGTTTTGTCCGCATGTCTGTACGTCAGAAGAGAGCAATGAATTCCCTGAAACTGGAATTCTAGGCAGTTGTGAGTTACCTGGTAAGTGTTAGGATCCAAACAAGGACCCTGCAAAAACAGCCAGCGCTCTTACCTGCTGAGCCATTTCTCAACCTCTTAGATTAGAGATTTCTTTAATGGTTGTTTTACTTCCATTGTGGAATGAAGTTTATGTACCAGGGGATGAGGTCAAAGCAGGAGAACCTCTCCGCCTCGTTTACAGCTGGGTAATTAAGACTGCAGCATTCTTGGCTGAGAGTAAAGAACTTACCTCAAATATTTTCCAATAATAAATATCTTTGTGGCCCATCTAAGTTCCTCCTATTTCATTGAAAACTAAAGCCCTTGCCTTGTGATTCTCCACAGCATTGATGGACAGAATCTACCTAAAGTTTGCGCAAAGCATTCTGTTAAGCAACATTACTACGACATGACAACTCAACTCAATCTGAATATTCTCTCATTTGATAAATTCAAGAAATGCTAAAAAAGGAATGTCTGTTGGAAAAATGAATATTGTTTAATAAAAATTAGTACTTTTTTGAAAATGTGTGATTTTTTTTACCTGTTCACCTATGGAGATACCATAGTGAAGTTAAAACAAGGTCCCTGCCATTTACTGAAAAGAGAAACATTAAAGAGAAAGCATACATAGGCAGAATATGGTGGTACACGCTTTATCAGGGAGTCAGTGATGGTTCAAGGTACAGACATTCATTAGCGTAATCCACCATATAAACAAACTCAAAGAAAAAAATCATATGATCATCTCATTAGGTACAGGAAAAGCCTTTGACAAAATCCAACATCCCTTCATACTGAAACTCTTGGAGAGATCAGGGATACAAGGTCCATACCTAAACATAATCAAAAACAATATACAGCAAGCTGATTGCCAAAATCAAATTAAATGGAGAAAAACTCAAAGAAATTCCACTAAAATCAGGGACAAGACAAGGCTTCCCACTTTCTCCATACCTCTTCAACCTAGTACCTGAAGTTCTAGCTAGAGCATTAAGACAACAAATGAAGATCAAGGAGATACAAATTAGAAAGGAAAAAGTCAAAGTATTACTATTTGCAGATAATAGGAGAGTGTATGTAAGTGACCCTAAAAATTTCACCGGAGAACTCCTATAGCTGATAAACAGCTTTAGCAAAGTGGCTAGATACACGTTTAATTAAAAAAAAAAAATTAGTAGCCCTCCTGTACACAAATAACAAACGGACTAAAAAAGAAATTAGGGAAAATACCCCTTCACAACAGCCACAAATATAAAGTATCTTGGCGTAATTCTAACCAAGCAAGTGAAAGACCTGTATGACAAGAACTTCAAGTCTCTGAAGAAAGAAACTGAAGAAGGTATCAAAAGATGGAAAGATCGCCCATGATCGTGGATGGGTAGGATTAACATAGTATATCTTATGAAAAGCAATCTACAGATTCAGTGCAATCCCCCATCAAAATAACAGCACAGTTCTTTATAGATCGTGAAAGAACAATTCTCAAATTCATATGGAAAAACAAACAAACAAACAAAAACCTGAATAGCTAAAACAATCCTACACAATAAAAGAACTTATGGAGGTATCTCCACCCTATATCTCAAGCTGTACTATAGAGCAATAGTAACAAAAGCTGCATGGTACTGGCAGATATAGACTGGTTGCTCGACAGAACTGAATCGAACACCCAGAAATAAACCTACATCACTATGGTCACTTGATTTTTGACAAAGGAGCCAAAACCAGACAGTGGGAAAAAGACAGCATTTTCAACAAATGGTGCTGGTCTAACTGGATGTCTGCATGTAGAAAAAATCCAAATAGATCCATATTTATCTTCCTGAACAAAACTCAAATCCAAGTGGATCAAAGACCTCAATATAACACCAGATACTCTAAAGTAAAGTGGGAAAGAGTTTCATACTCATTGGCACAGGAGACAACCTCCTGAACAGGACACCAAGAGCTCAGGTTCTAAGATCAACAGTAAATAAATGGGACCTCTTGAAATTGAAAAGCTCTGTAAGACAAAGGATACTGTCAATAGAAGGAAACAACAGTCTACAGATAAGGAAAAGATCTTCACCAATCCTACTTCTGACAAAGGGCTAATATCCAAAAATATATAATGAACTCAAAACTTCAACACCAATAAACAAAATAAACCAATTAAAAAATGGGGCACAGAACTAAACAGAGAGTTCTCAACAGAGGAATGGCTGAGAAACACTTAAGGGAATGTTCAACTTCCTTAGTCAACAGTCAAACGCAAATCAAAACAACTCTGAGATTCCATC